ATTAATAACAACCCTAGAATTTTTTGTGGAACTAGAGTTTTACATTTGCTATGAATTACTAGCATCTCGCCCCTGGTTGCTAAGAGGAGACTTATGAGATCAGTGTTTGACTTTTATGGTCAGAAATTTTAAAATAAACAAGTTATATCAACATCAGAGCTGGAGAAGGAGAGGACATTAGCTGCAGAGTCTCCCAGGGCTGTACATGGTGAATAGAGTTCATCTACTTTCTTCTCATATAAGACCAGAGCAGGATGAATAACTGCAAAACAGGGGCCTGAACAGACTGTTTTCGAGGTCCTGTATCACAGTACACTTCTCTCAAGTTACACAGGCCAAACTGAAGCACAGATTGCTGCCAACCATTAGCTGGCAAAAGAGATGGATGGATGATGAGCCACAGCTAATGAAGGGTGCCCAAAGAACAAGTAATATTGTTTTAAACTCCAGCTCTTTTCCGAGCATTGATTTTGGAAGGGTTTAAGATTTTACTTTTGAGAAAGTAAGGGATAGTTTTCCCTATGCAAACACTACTCCAGAAACTAGCAGAGAAAGCTTTATCACAGAATCACAGAATGGCTGAGGTTGGAAGGGACTTCTGGAGATCATTTAGTCCAACGCCCCTGCTCAAGCAGAGTCACCTAGAGCATGCTGCCCAGGGTTGTGTCAAGATAGCTTTTGAATATCTCCAAGGATGGAGACTCCACAACCTCTTTTTCATTTAGCAATAAAGACTCCCTTGATCCAAGGTCAGAAAACACAGTAGGACAATATCTGCCACCTCACTGCCTTGGCCACCTTGCAAAATAAGTGATTATGTGCCGACTTATTTAGCTAAGTAGCTAAATAAGCTACTTAGTTTTAACCGTGCTTAACACTATTCTAGTTATTGCCCCAAACGAAGAGCCACATTGCCCTGCACCGTTACCCTGTTCTGCTCCAGGGTAGAAGGAATTTCACAGCAGGAACTCCATACAAACATGCCGGAGCAGTGGACCAAAGTGCTCTGAAAATCACTTTAAACTGTATCGACTGGTTAGCTCTGCTACAACCAGGCTACTTCTTGCTGAAATACTCCGGATGTTAGAATCACTTTGCTGGCAAGCTCGTGCCTTTTGGGCTCTAACTGTTCAGAAAATGCTCATAATATTCTGTTGTTCTCCCTTCCCCCCACCCCACACACCTTAAAACTACGCCAGCCTTTCTTTGCCGAGCTAAGACTGTTGCCTGTGGGCAGGCTAAGGGCGGAGCTTCCTGGGCAACTCGGCCCTCATGTAGACGAGTAGAGCTTCAACATGGGCTGGACCAGATCTGAAGAGGCATGGATGACTCCACGTGAGATAGGCACTTTGGCAATAATAAACTGAGCTAAGATGGGACACATTTGCAAGATCACCCCCTAAACATCAGTGAGAACACTGCACAGACTGAAAGTGGCGCAGCAAAGTATCCAGCCCAAGATCTCTGCCAAACCAGGAGCATCTCAGGTAGCCAACACATAGCTATTTACTGCTATTTGAGATGCCCTTGGCCTCTGGCTGCCATTCCAGAAGGGAACTCTCTGGTAGGTCCTATGTCGTATTGCCAGCCTCACGCAAGTACCTCAGACAACTTCAAAAGCAGCGTTAGATGTGACGTTTATGATCAGGGTTGCTTCCCTCCTATGCTCCTCATATTTATTACTGTTCCATGTGTGTTCACTTTTTAAATGCTTGGAAGATAATTGAAAAATAACATCCATGTTTTTTAGTCTCAAAATTATTTTTTCCTGCAGAACTTCCAGGGAAACATCAGCATTCAAAAAGCCTCTCTTGTCACTGACCAAGAATTCCCTGTGGTCACTAGCAGGAAGACCACTCCTGAACATAGTGTCATATACTGACTATCTTGTGACTGCTGTACCAAATCCTATCATCCTTATGCAGCTGATTAAAGCTATTAAAATATTAAATAGGCAAAAATAGAAGCAGAAAGGTACACAGCAAAGCAGCCAATTGGCTCATCTCCTGCCTTTTTTTTTTTTTTAACTGCATATCTAACATCTATATCCTAGACCTTCCCCTCTGCTTGTGAAGACAGGTGCTCTCTCCTGAGCATTTCCATGCAGCTCACAAAATCAGTTTAGGCGAGCTAATGAATAGCAATGCAACTGGCACTGTGAAAGAGAAGTATTTTTCCCCTCCCTCTACCCTCAAGGTACCTGTGCTTGGAGAAGGTGATATGAACTGTAGGTCTCCTGGGCTAACCAGGCTTGCTAATCTGTAGCTGTAATGAGGGCAGATTCCCTAGGGTATGAAGACGTTTTGATCGCTTTGCTTTCCCTCCAGCTGCCATCTCTGCCAGTTCAGCCACAGACTGGACAGCATATCAGAGCTGGCAGCAAGGAGGAGACAAAACCAGTTTGCTACAGGGCTGCAAACAGGTTCTCTTGGCCATGCAATTAACTATAGACTTTCTGCCTTTTGTAGGAACAGTCAGGATCACACCTTTGATTCATCCCACAGGGCAGGAAGAGGAAAATTCTGGACTTGTACTGCTTTGGGTGAACAAAAAGAAACTTCTATCCAGCCCAGAAACATCTATCATCCGCCATACCGAATGTGACAGTGGCCACCACCATTGAACAGAGAGTGATTTCACTTTCAACACAGCTCTCGGTATCTACATAATTTAATCCAGGCCTTTAACTGTGGCTGCAGCATAGAATTGGACAAAAATGGGCTTTAAGCCCACAGAAACTTTCAGCTTCTTTTGACTTAAAATTGAAAATGTTTACCCAAAAAATTCTGATTCAGAGTTTGCCATTGTGGAGTCTTTCGGGAGTTTTGGATCCTTTTCCCGCAGGTGACCCGGAGCTCACGCTGCACCTCATTCTCTCCTTCCTACTCAGCACGATGCATCTTTAATATTGCATCACCAGGCACAGTGTGGGAGATAGAAACGGCCTCTGAACATGACCCAAGTATAGGAACTGGACATATGGCACTTAAACCTCAACTCTCTCCCAGCTCCACAAGGCAGAGCCTAAGAGATTTTTTTTTTTTTTTTCAATAATGTGTCCAGTCATAGGTGAAAATTGGAGTGGAAAGCAGAACCTTTCCCTCAAGTAAAGCCAAACTGAGAGAAGAAAAAAAAAAAAAAAAGAAAAAGAAAAAGAAAAAGGCTTGGGCAACATTGGCTTTTGCACCAAAAAACAAAGCAGGCCTAGAACCTTTTTGTTTAGTGCAGTCAGGCTGCTCACAATGTGAAGCAGCAGCTTATCTGCGCATGCGATTATTTCAGTTTCCTGCAGATGCATAGCTACGGATTTCAATTGCTTTAATGTGATGCCAAAGACAGTAATCTCTGATAGTGCTAAGAGTCAGGACTGATAACAGACAAGTTTAAGCACTACCCTTGCGATAATTACTCAGCTGTCAAAAACAGGTAAACTGGCAGCACTCAGAAAGTACGTTTGCAATAGTTTGACAGAGCAAAGAGGGCCTCCTGCCACAGTTTGCCAGCCAGTTGAGCTCTGGGTGGTTGAGGGAGTGTCTTACCCAAACAAACATCAGCACTTCTCTGAGAGCATCTATTCCCAAGCCTGCTGTCTCCACAAGTGACTGACATGTTCAGTAATCGTATAGGTCAGCTGGGGGGTTATTCCCACTATCTACCAAAGCACTAGTACAGATCCCTTCATTGCCTACATTAAAGTACATCCAGAAGTTGTGAAAAAAAAATCTATCACAAATTCATGGCTAGTCCCCTCTCAGGTCTTGATTCAGCAAGGCACCTGTGCTTTTAAGTCTGCAAGAGCCCCACTAAAATCAAAGGGAACCCACAAACACGCTCACAAGTTATATTCATCGGGTAAGATCACTGAGCTGAAGAGGCAATACCCCTTCCTTTCCTCACAAAACTTGGCCTCTAGCATGTGTATGAAAAATGACACACAGAAGTTGAATATTCACCACTGAAGATACTTGAGTAGGTTTAATAGTTACCTTGAAGGGTTGTTAGGCATGTTATCAACTCTCTCTGATCTCAAAAAAGCCCTAGACCTCACATTCTCATGC